TTCTATAAATGCTGCGAATATAAGCTTTTTAGATTAAAATAACGGTAGTTTCAAGTTAGCAAATATTCTAGAAATCTAATTAAGCTTCTGAAGTGTTGATGACAGTCATTCATTCACCAAGCTATATAGAGAAATATGGCATTTCACATGTTTGAAATTTATGTGGTAACCATAAAGTGTAATAAGTGTTTCGAAGTTAGGCCCTTCTCGTTATATGCCTCGAGCCTCCCTTGCGTGCGGAGGATGCGTTTTATAGTCGCGTGGTTTGTTTCAGTAGGTACTTCCTTTTTTAATCTGAAATGAAAAGAATTTTTTGTAATCACTTTATCGTCAGCAATAAAATGCATGCGAACAAATAAGATGCAACCATTTACTCAATTCAATGTTAGAGGCGCTCCTTTTCACCCGGAACGGCGTAATTCTAAACAATTGCGTTAAGTCTAAAGAAGATTGAATAGGAATTTAATTTTGAATGATGCTCTTGTAACAAAAGGATTTTGCTGAGAATGAATTATAGAAGTAACGTTCCGTTTTACAGCCTTCATTATCCGACGAGATTTTTCATTTTGCCACGGCCGTATTTTACCCAAACAAAATTAGGAATAATTGAAGACGCACTCTTATATAATTGAAAGTGGCTGTTAATGGCATGTGTAATTTAAATGAATTTAATTGAATTCTATGGTAACTACGTTGTGGATGTGCGAATTACCCGTTCACTAATTTGTAGACCCGAAGACTGTGTCGATCGAATTGGTATACTAAACCTGAATATAAAGTTTTAATCCATATAGGTATTTAACGATCTGTACAGAACGCACTTATCTCCAGACAGTTTCTCAAAGAACGCGACCAATAAATAAAAACTACAGTTTTAACGAAAAAACTGTCAATTAAAGTAGTAAGTACGAAGAAAAGCCAACCTCTGTCCTCCATAATAAAGTTTTTGTAAACGCTTTTGCTTGTTAACTTATAGTGTGTTTCATTTGATTGTAAATTTTTTATCTGACGGTATAAACTGCAATTTTGAGTATGACCTTTAGCTTTTTATTTGTTATGGCCTTTCGACTTTCGGATCGTTCATAAACGGCACAATCAATTAATAAGTCAACGTTATGTGTTTTCTTTGTTTTTCTGTTTTTATTCAATTTTGTTTCACGAGGAAATCTCCTTTTGACATACGCCCGGCGGTGGTGGGTGGTCTAAGAGGGTTAAAATTTTGAACATTCAAACAGTTTTATTATTTGAATCTTGGTTTGTTTTATATTTATGGGAATGTACTGAAATGATAAATATTTATGTGAGACGATTTTTGCTGTATAGAAACTTTGAAAGACGCCATTAATTACACGTAATAGATAATTTGTCGCATTTATAATAGCATAAACGAAGACCATTACTTCCGTTCCGATTCTTAATATTCATTTTTAATACTCGTAGAATATTTTTTGCGTCGGGTTTTATTATGCTTTCTCCCGGACGGACGCTCGCTCGCTCGATGGCTTCATGTTCATCGATTTAAAGGAGAACGGATGGACCGAATTGCATGAAATTCAAACTGGGCACAGCTTTGGCCATATAATACGCAATACCCAAATTTGAGCATAATCAATTTAACATTCACAGTGCCTTTTTAGTGCATCTTTGCAAATTTGTTTGTAAAAACTGCAAAAGCGAAATGACAAGGGAATGGTAGCAGTGATGCCAGTTCTCGTCTCGTCTCGTCTCGTCTCGAATTTATCTAATCATTAGTCTCGGCGAAAGTCTCGTTTGGTCTCGAAGTTTTTTTAATGTATTTGTACGGGTTTTTGTAAATTTGAATAACGCAAATCCATTCAAGTAGCACGAATTCCAATTGTTTACATAAATAGTCGCCGACCTTACTGATTTATGACGTATATTACCATAGGTCCTATACAATAGGTATCTGTAACTATTGACAAGTGTAAAGGTTATGTCTACTAACACAACACAATAAAGATAGAAAGACAGAATAACTGTAACTTTTCTTAGATCCAGGAAGTCTTCGACAGCTTTATCTTATTTTATTGACAGATGGTTGATTATATTAGAGCTGTACCCTCATAAATAGAAGTATACCTGCTTACTCAGGCAATGGTAATTGTCTATGCTGGACAAACAAGAAATGGTTTTAATAAGTTCTCGTGGATTCCTTTAAATTAAAAGCACTTAATGTTCTTATTGTGTTTTTACAAGTTTGCTCTAATTTGGGACCCCTCCTACAAAAAGTACGTTTGAACTCGAGTACACTCAACGTCGCTTTTTAAAATACATCCACTTCCATTCTGAAGGAGTTTATCCTGATAGAGGATTCCCCTAAGACGCTGTACTTGGAAAATTGTCCCAGGTCTTTCAATGAGAAGGAAGCACATCATTCTGTCTTTTCTACATAATTTAATTCATGGACACATTGACTGCGCGGTAGCCAGTACGCGCCAGTACATCAGTACTCTGCAGTACCATTTGATTGAGTAGGTACTATCTTAAAACGACAGCAAAAATTTCCTACCTATAAAGGACGCCGATATTTTTTATGTACTGGCGGGCGGGATTTGGAAGCTAGCCAGTACACTTGATATCGTCAACGATAACCCGCACATTAATATACAACAGTACTATTTAGTACTTCTTGGGTACTGAATGCGTACACAATCAGTTTCTTGGTACCTTTAAGAGTTGCTGTGACACCCACGGAGTGGAGATTCGAAGTGTATGTTATAGATATTTCGTCCTCCTCAAAATCAAAATTGAGCTGTTTCGGAAAATGATACGGTGGCAACCCTAGCACTCCATGCCGGTAACTTGAAATTAGGTGTTTGGTCAACCTAATGCAGATTATTTATTTCAGCGATCTGATCAGCGAAAGGTAAACTTTAATCGAATCACGGAGACAGTATTTCCAAGGCTTATGAAATGACAGATACATACTGGGTGACAATTTGAAAACTTACCACCCCCCATATCTTAGTAAATAAACGAGATATTAAAAAAAATCAAAATCCGTTTCGGTAATTCAGAGGGGGAATCACAATGACATAGTTGGCGACGCACCCCCTCCAACCCCCTGCGACCCAGCCGCCCCAACTTTTAAATCTTAAATAGTGACCCCCCATGTGTGATACGTCGTTGGAAAGCTCTGAAAAAATACCATACCAAATAGCATTACATTTAGGTTAGTAATTATCGTGCAAATCAAAAAATAAACTAATATGGTACATTTGAAATCTGTCGTATTTAAAACGCAACCGGCGAACATAAACGAACTAAGACAGAGAATAATTCAAGAATGTCGAAATATTGCAAAACCAACATTGGAAAGGTTCGACAAGAATTTGAGAATAGATTATAACTGCCGATCAAAAATGAGTGCTGTCGAGTCGGCTTTGGAAGTTCAAGTTAAATACGATTTTCCATGTTTATTTTTTGATTTGCACGATAATTACTAACCTAATGCTATTTGGTATGGTTGGAAAGCATTTTTTCAGAGCTTTCCAACGACGTATCACACATGGGGAGTCACTATTTAAGATTTAAAAGTTGGGGTGGCTAGGGTGCAGGGGGTGTGGGGGGGTGCGTCGCCAACTATGTCATTGTGATTCCCCCTCCGAATTACCAAAACGGATTTTGATTTTTTTAAATATCTCGTTTATTTACTAAGATATGGGGGGTGGTAAGTTTTCAAATGATCACCCTGTATAATTTAATCTGTAGTCCAATTATAAAACGGAGATTGCATTCATAATATTTTTAATAATTGTAGGTTTTCGCTTGTTAAGTTGTTACTCATAAATTCTAGGTCACAATATTAAAATTTGCATCATTCGGCCCTTTCCTAAAAATAATTAATTCTCCCAAACCTTGAAAAATTATTGACACGGCGAGCAGTCTCGTATTGTGTCATTTGCAAACTGTAACCATTATTTTGCTTATACATACAGTAATATTGAACATATGTATATTTTCGTTCCAATACATTTATCATTTGATACAATGGATGGCCCACTTTCGACTTTTCCTTATAATTAAGGCGTCGTTTCCATCACTTCGCATGTCTTGCCCTTTAGGTTGACGTAGTGAGGTAATTATGACACCGAGCGGAATGTTATTGTTATATTACTTTATCCGTACGATAGGGACTAATAGCATTGAATAAATTAATTTTTTATTCAATGCTTTAGTAAAAGAAGGGCGATAGCTTTTCTAATATTTAGTGCCACATTTTGATGAAACCATTAGAACCTTGTTGTATTGTTCCTTTCTTCTAATTGTCACACAGTGTACGAACGGAAATAAATAGGGCAGCTTTCGTTGACCGCAGGTCGTCAGCCGTGCAGTTCAAATCCCGAAGTAATTATGGATCGCATATTGTAACATAATGAAATATTATTATATAATAACAACGTTGAGAAAACCGCAGCTAAAGTGAGTTAGGATCTAACCATATGACAAAGTTAATCGTATACTAGCAAAGTTAATCAGGGCATTCAAGAAAATCCCCACGCACACTTTCTGTGCAAAGATAATTTATGGTTGTATACACGTATTTAATATAACAAAATAACCTTAGATTAACTAATTTATTATACCTAGCGTATTGTAAAGCTTGAAACTACATAAGTGCTCGTTTATTTTGTAGAGTAAAAACCATTGGAATAGCATCTCCAACGAGGACCGAGTGTAGTTCGTCGTGTACAAACACAAGTTAAAAAGTATGCAAACATACATTACGAGAGCCTAATAATATTAATGCTAGGACCAGGAAAAAATAGCGGTAGGCACGAGATCCTTACCCCATTCTCTTTCAAATGAGCCGCCATCGTCGAAGTCTATACAGTGTAATGAAAAATAGTGGAGCGTATACAAATAAAATCATACAAATTTTTTTTTTTTTTTTTTTTTTTAATTTTTTGTGCCTCGACTACTATTGGCACAGTTACAGTAAGATAAGTGTGGCTAACATAATAAGTATAGGACGGTATCTATATACAATTATACAATTTGATGTCTTTCAGAAAATTAATTACTCTGGCAATATTTTCTGGTGTTGCAAGGTCTTCTTTCAGGTCTGTCCCTATCCGCCATTTTAGTCTATTTTCATCATACTTTGGGCATTCGGAGAGAATGTGGTTTACAGTAAGAATGTCGTTGCATTCGCACCGTGGTGGATCGAGACTGTCCAAGATGTGACCATGCGTGACACCAGTATGACCAATCCTTAATCTGTGTATTATTATGGTATCCTTTCTCGGCATTAAGGGTAGATTATGTGCGGTTATTTGTGTTTGAATTTGGGCCAGTTTGGCGTTGGAGAGGCTCCAAATATGTTGCCATTTGCTGGTGATAGACTGCTTCAGAGAGTTTTGGAGGTCGGTGTGTAGTTGAATTTGTACTGTGGGCAAATCCATGTTTAGAGCTTCTTTTGCGGCTTTGTCAGCTCTTTCATTCCCAGGAATCCCTACGTGAGAAGGCGTCCAGACAATAGTTACAGTGTTATTCTTGGCAACAAGTTGCTGGTAGGAGTCATGGATCTGTTGTGCTAGGCAATTTTGGGTAAATATATTGTCGATGGAAAGTATCGCTGCCAGGGAACCGGTACATATTATTGTCTTCTTATTCTCGCCGGTAATGGTGCTTAGCGCCATTAAGACTCCATATAGCTCTCCAGTATGAATGCTACAAAAGTTTGGTAGCACGTATCTCGCTATTGTGGAATCTGATGTCGTGACTGAACAACTAACACTTTTGTCGTCTTTGGAAGCATCTGTGTATAGTATGTTGTTTGATTGTCCGTATTTGTCTATTAACTTAAGGAATGATTGTTTAAGAACTAGGTTAGGAGTGTCAGTTTTATTGTATTTACATAAGGTTTTGCTGATCTGAGGCATTTGCTTAGCCCATGGAGGGCAGACAGAGTTTGGATGTGGAGTAGTTTTGGATAAATCAGTATTTCCTACCAGGTCTCTTAATATTTTAGTGACTGGAAAGGGGTGTTTGGTAATGTTATTGGTCTGCGCTGACATCAGTGCACTGTAAACCGGATTCTTGTGGAAATGGGCATTAGTTTTACTTTTATTCAAATTGTCTACATATTGGACTTTTTATAAATGCTTTCGTAAATGGCATTGCGCATTGTCTACATTAGAAATTTCATTGAATACCTTCGTAAATAAAACAGACAGCATGCGTAAACAGTAGTTTTGAAACCGGTGTTAGTTTTAGTTTCATTCAAGGTGCCTACTACATATGGTATTTCATTTAACTGCTTTCATAAATAAGAAAGTTGCATATACGCATGCGCAAAACCAAAATTTAAAACTGGTGTTAGATTTGCTTGTATTCCAACTATCTATGTATTAAATTTCATTTTAATGCTTCCGTAAATAAGGAAGTTGGCAATGCGCATGCGCAAAACCAAAATTTGCAATTGATGTTAGATTTGTCTTTATTCCAAATGCCTATGTATAACATTTCATTTAAATGCTTCCATAAATAAGAAAATTGGCATTTGGGCATGCAAACAACATTTTGAAAACGTCGTTAATTTTACATTTATAAGCGGAACTTCGTGAAACATGAAAACATCACGTTTTACTACGGCTCGCTAAGGCAGCTTTATTATACCAAGGGCTGCGCGAAGGAGCGCGGCCCACATATGGAGACTTCGTACGCGACATCCAAGAAAGACGGTCGAGAAATAGAGCAATGTATCGAGCCATTGTTACTGTTCAATAAACGCCCATTGTAAATTGTCGTATAGTGTTTAATTAAGGGGTGTAATACCCCTAATCCTCTATACCGTTAGTGAATCTTTTACATATATTCGTAGTTTTACATACAAAGTTTCATTTAAATATCTTCATAAATAAAAAGTTAGCATTGCACATGCGTTAAACCAAATTTTTGACACTGCGCATGCTAAAAGCCAATAAATAATAAATACCACTCTTTAACGACCATTTATTACGGATCTTACAAACTACATTTTATGCATCAAATTCATATCTTGAACATTGAGATAATGGTCTTAATCTTGTTCCCAATCATCTTGGTCTTTTTCCCAGCGACCTCATTACAAGAATAACGATTTTGACATGTTTTGATCAAAATCCATGCGATCGCCAAAAATATATCAAATTCATATTTTGGTCATTGGGATAATGCTCTTGGTCTTTTTCCCAACGATCTTGGTGCATAAATAACAATTTTGACATGTTTTGATCAAAATCCATGTGGTCATAGAAAGAATTTAACATTTAAGCAAATTTTGGGATAATCTGCAGAATTTTCCCTTGTTACACGACGTGGTATTGCAAACGTTTTCCTTTATTTAAACATCACCATTCAAGCCAACATTTGCTAAATAATATTTACGTAAATTTCATATGGCTTTTCATTTCAAGATGAAAATTTCTTTACAGGCTTATTCTACAATGACAAAATGAAAAGGAGGTTTTATTAGGTCGCGGTTCCTCGTGGGTATACCTATACGCTTTGTCAAACAAAAAGAAATAAGTACTTATATAAGATTGGAGGGAAGACGGCGTTTCATTTGGTGCTAATCAATACTATATTTGAAACTGACAGATTTTTTATAAGTAGGTAACTATTACCAAAGAGTAACCCACTCTTTGCTATTACTTACAATCGAGATTAGCTCTACAATACATTATGCTCTATATCTATAGGTATTATATCGGAATATTACCTATAACGAAGTAACGCAGTAAGTTTCCATTGTAGCAATAATTATTATTGGTAACTCAGATAAACGTTTACCACTCTTCATTAAATTCGGAATAAATTGGTGAATGTATAATTCTCATCGACAAAAAATTATTAATGGTGTCGAACCCTAAAAGTTAGAAACCAACTTTTGTTTCAACAAAGTTTCTTTAAAATCCTATATGCCCTCTCAGTGTCCGAAACTCTTCAAAACTTGTTAAAAATTATTCCTGTGATCCCGTACTTTTATTACTTTTGACAAACGTCACTTTTTAATCGACATTATATCCATCTTAAACTTGCTCTTTTTGGACACTTCCTTACGTATTCATCGAAAAATGTTACATATGTTACATATTGGATCGTTTCCTAGGAAAATGCTTCATATTAAACGTTCAGACATAACAATTAAGCTAAATATTTAAAGTTTGTACAAGCGATAATGCCTTGATTGATACGTATTCTACGCGTATAAACTGGTTATCCGTTTGATAAAACTTGAAAGTTTGGAAATCGGTTTAATATGTGAACATACTCCTCTTCGAGTTAAAATTCTTCTCATGGGATTATGTCACTGACTTCAGAAGTTAAACTATTGAATTATTAAACCAAAGTCGCAGTTTTGTTTACATAATGCTTCTTTTTATTACTGCAGTAATTTTTAACAAAGATAACTATGTCAATAGTGTGCATTCTTTTCGGTTCTTTATTTTTTGAGTGAGAGCATGATAAATATTTAATACATTTGAAAAATGATTCGCAAACTAATGACATAAATTCAATTTTTTGTTGTAATGGATTAGTCCCAGTCCCTTTGATCATGTGCGTATGCATAGAGTCTCACAGTTTTAGTTCTTGTTTCCCCCAGTGCCAGCTTTTAGAGCTTTTAGATCAAAGTTATTATCAAAATTCTATTACCTTTGAATATAAAAAGTTTTACGAAATGTTACAGCGTACTCCATTCTTTGACATTTTCGTTAAGTACGTAATCCTATTCCGTTGTTATTATTTTTTGTTATCGGGTCTACGTGTACCTACGTCTTGATGTTTGATATGATGTCGGGATTTTACAAAGAGAGTCCTAAAAGATCAGTCGAACGAAGTGAACATCAAAGTTTTAAGCAACCAAGTTGATGTATAGGTGAATGAAATTTTGACGCCACTTACGAAGGTGTATTAAAAGACTTTTTTCATTGGAAATCTGATTTGCGTTTACATTCATTTTGTATAGTATCAATAGAAGCTCTGATATTCCTTATTGGAAATTCACTTTCATTTCTATTGAACCTTGAAAGTATATTTTATCATATGATATATAGGATACCACAATTTTGCTTAACTTACCTGCAACTACGATTTCAATTAAAATTGATAACAATTTGATAATTTTGTTTCTTCATCAATCAAATTACATTTCTTATTGGGGCCAACAGTTTTTACGCTGCAAAATAATAGCAATTTGTAATTTTATTCCTTTATCTAAAATAAAGGGTTGCCATAGAAGGTGAAAAAAGCGAACAGAACCATCAGAACCAAACAAATACCTACGAATTGTGTCAATATAAACAAACCACACGAGCGAGATACCTTTAGCTATAATAGTATATTGTGTATCTAGTGCTTGACGTAGACTTTTTTAGTTTAAAGTTTTCCCGCACGTAGTGCACACTATACTTTTTCTACCACTCCTTACTTAGAAATTTTATAATTCAATTGAAGAAAACTTGAGACTAATTTTCTTTTTTATTAATTATTATTAACAGTTAGAGTACAATTTTGTAAATTGTGTACATTTTCTTTCTCTTTCTCATTGTTAGCGACCGCCGATTAACTTCGAACGCCTTTTCCATATCAGCCGTTGGCTAGCATTGACCACATCATCACTCGAAAGGGGAAGAGACTACTTTCACATTTTCCATAAACCGCCTCTTTTTTAGTGACCGAAAAAATCCATTAATAGATGGAGCCATCTGTCAAATTGCTTCAAAAATGACCGGGGTTTTCAACAAGTAATAAACCATAAACAACAATAATAGTGCTTCGTAATGGAGAAAATAAATCCCAGAAAAACGGTTGTTCCAAAGTAGACTAGCATCCGACTTTGGCCGTGCGAGGACGGGCAGCATGCGGCTGGTCACTAAAATCGACCGTGAAAATGGTCAGTTGCAGAGGATCGCCCGCCGCATGAAGTTGTGTTTTTGGTCTATTCGCTTGCGATTTTAGTCAACTGTGTAAATGGGTTGGCGATGCGGCTTTGTGAGGAAATGTGTGAAGCGATTAATCGCACGGCGAAAATTAACTTATGTAAATGCCTCATTACCGACATTCGGCTTCTTACTGTATTTTTCCGTTAAAACTAGTTTTAGTAAATTGACGGGCGAAACTAGGACCTGATCAGTCAAAAACCGAAATACAAAACAAAGTTTAATAAAATTCGGCTATTTACTGAACACTGCAGGTGCATCGCGTTTTTACTAGTAAATACCCGTCTTAACAAATGTCTAAAGTTAATTCGAGTTTTAGCTAGTTAAAACGAGTTTTTACTAAAATCGGTTAACGGTAACAATATACGTAGAGTCTAAAATAAACGCTTTTTATACTGTGTTGCTAGGGATCGCTACAACGTGAACAGTTGGAGTTAACACGAACTAGACTATTCACTTTAATAACGACGATTAAAATCTCTAGAACACCAACTACAGTTTCGTCTATAACAACTGTACCAAGACTGACTGTCTTGCTAATTAAAAAGCTTGACCAAGCCCCTTTTCCCGTCCTCTTCGTCTTTTTGAAACATTCTTGCTTTCTATTCCTTTCGATCCTCCTTCATTATCATTTTGTCAATGTATTCCAATCAAATTCACTTTATCCACCAGCAAAATTCCTTCCAGAGTTATACTTGAAAAACCTTTGCAGTCCA